ATTTTAATGGCCACCACCACCACCACCATCATCATCATCATCATCATCATCGTTAGTTATTTACAGACAAAAATAAATAGATCATATCTTTATGGATTTAGAATATGACAAACCAAGCCCTGTTTTTTTTTTGCTTTGATAGAAACAAACACATATGATGAATACATAAATAAAATGATTTGATCAAAAATATCCATTATGATTTTTGATGATTTTTTTTCAATAAAAATGGTTAGATTTTATTTTCCCATATTTCTGATAAGAACAAAAAAAAAATGAAATACCTCCATTATTCCATTATCAGGTAATGTCTGAATTTGTCATTTGATTATGAAATAAAAAAAAAATAAATAAATAAAGATTGTACTGATTCAAGATCAAGGACAATCGGATTTCAAAACAAACACATGCAAAAAAAATAAAAATTAAAACTACATTTCAGTCTGAATAATATAACAACAACACATCATCGAAATAATGTTCGATGTATCCATGTTACCTTGATAATCAAATTATTCAAAAAAAAATTGATGATGATGTTATTATAATAATAGTATTGCATAATAAACTAGATAGGTATAAATACAATAATATATTTGATGATGATCTCCATATTACCTGCCAAAATAAATCTGTATAATGATTTCATTATTTTTTTTTTTTTAAAGATTCATATTAAAATGGCCATCATTTTTTTTTTTTTGGATGATTTTATGGTGAATGCAATCATGGAAAAGCAACAACAATGATGATGATGATGATGATGATGTCCATTGTATTCATCATCAACAGTAACAACAGTGAAAAGAAAAAAATAAATTAAGTTTACACAACAACAACAACAACAAAAAACGTTCAAAGATATGATGATATTGTTGTTTGGCCCTGTTGTTGTTGTTGTTGTCTATATAATATTCATCCCTCTCGATTATGTTTATGATGATGAAGTTCAGAAAGATTGTAATACATAGAAATTTTTTTTTTGTGGCTTCTGTTTTTGTTGTTGTTGATAAATGCTGCCTGTTTTTTTTTCTTTCTTGATGATGATGTTTCATATTTTGTTGTTGTTGTTGTTTTTATTATTATTTTCATTAAAAAATAATGATGATTTACGGAGAATTTAATGCAAATAGATCAGATTACATTATATCATCATAACACACATCATATCTACCTATGTGATGTAAATTGGAAATAATCGCATCTTCTTGAAAGTTACACACAAACACACACACACACACACAGGCAAACACAAAGGACCAGATAATGAATATAAGGAATAATAATAACTAGCGAAAATAAAACAATTTTTAATTAAGTAAAACTTCTGTTTTTGTGGTGAATATTATATTAAGTTTTTTCTTTATTCATTCATTCATTCTCCTCAACTATGATTTTTTTTCTACATTATTATATATGTAATAATGAATACGTTTTTTTTTTGGCTCAGTTTATTTTTTTTCGGATGAATTAATTTCAACAGGTGTGTGTGTGTGTGTGTACGGGGGATAGGTAAGTAATTTCATTCATTCAATTGATTGGATTTGTTGCTGTTGTTGTTTAATATATTTTCATTTTCATTTTAATTTGATATTTGAATTTGATTAGGATTATCTATTACTAAAGCAGATAGCGAAAAAGCTTGCTCCTAGTACCTTGCACCAGATGATGATCGGCATATTTTTTTTGTTTTGTTTTTTGTTTTTTTTTTTGCCCATTTCCAATGTTTATAATTGACTTAGACACCAACTTGAACTAACCATCGTACACCCACATACCTACACTAATCATATTGAGCTCAATCCAATCAGCCAGATGAAAGAGAGAGAGAGAAAAAAATGACGATAAGGCCAGGCCATTTACATTCATTACATATTTATCAAAGCAAAAAAAAATATGATTTTTTCGATGCCAAAATAAAATGAACCTACATTCAAATGCAGTGGAGATGCAAATACGAACAAGAAAGCAAAAAAAAGAAGACGAAAAAAAATTAACTTAATTTACTTTCAACGCCCGTGCACAGAGAAATTCCAATTTTTTTTTTGAATCAAAAAAAAAAAAATTTCAAATTCACATCGTGTTTCTAATACAAAATATTTCACGGAGAAAACTACCACCAACCAACCCCATTGGTATGATCATCATCATCATCATCATGGTCTGTCTGTAATGGTTATGTAGTCGCACATATTTTTTTGTTTTTATTTTGTTGTAATCCATCACCATCATTGAATTTGGTTATCTACTTGGTTGTCATGTGTAATTCATTCATTCATTTTTTTTCTCCATATTTTTTATCTTATGGTTTAAACACATCCACATTCAATTATCGTTGTACGTTAATTCATTATTTCACTGATTGTTTGTTGTTGTTGTTGTTGTAATACATTTTTTTTGTTGATGATGTTAGTAATCATTGTTATTTTTTTTCTCGTTTATTTCATTAATAAAATAATAATCATCTTTCATGATTTTGTCTTGATGATCATTTTTTTTCTGCTACCACTACTAAATGCTACCTATGGTGATGTCCAAAAATTTTTTTTTTTCTGGATCACTTGATTGTTGTTGTTGTTGTTGTCGGTTTCTACAACGCTTTTTCTCATTTATAATAATTTGCAATTTCTAATTACTTTAATATATAGCTGCCGGGCTATTACTACTATTTCGTATTCAAATTCTTTTTTGTTGTTGTTGTTGTAAACCATATATAAATGATAATTTTGTATTCAAAATTGGCAAGTTAATTTATACTGAGCCAGTCTATTGTTTTTTTTTTTTTTTTTTGACAAAAATAATTAACAAGAAGATCATCATCATCATCATGGTCATCATGATCATGGTCATCAGGAAAAAAAAATTTAATCTAAATTTAATAATAATTTTTTTCTATGAAAAGGAGATAAATTTTTTAAATTTCACAAACAAACAAAAAAAAGCAGTTAATGAAATTACGTAAAGCGATTGGATCATCATCATCATCATCATTACAAAAACAACAACAACAACAACAACAATCAACCACACAACTATGAATGGGTGGTAAATGTTATTATTCAATTTGACTTTCTTCATCATCATCATCATCATTATTTTGGTCATCATTAGTTTGGCCGCAAGGCAATGATATAATGTCGTCCATATTCTCATACATACATTGAAAGGTAAGTAAAAAAAAAAAAAAAATTTAAGCATACATTCATTTTTTTTCCAATCTGGTTTATTTTATTTTCCAAGACATTCATAAAGCAACATCCAGAACAACAACAACAAGAACAACCATAATTATTGAATGCCACTTGCTGTGTTGATTGGTTATGATGATGATGATGATGATGATGGTTACAAATTAGAAATCAGTTGGAGGTCCTTGTTGTTGTTGTTGTTGTTGTTGTCGTCGTTGTTGTTGTAGTTATTCGGCTCTGTTTTAAACTAAAGAAAAAAATTTCATACGTAAAATAAACTAGAGAAAGGAAGAAAGAAAAAATGTATTTATAAAAATATAAGTTCTCACACACACACACACACACAGACAGACAGAGTGTGACAAGATATTTTGTTTTATCAAATGATATAATATGATCATGATCATGATGGTCATCGGACATCATTTCTTTTTCTCTTTTTTTTTGGTCATAAAAATTACATTATTTTTTTCCAATTATAAAAAATTGAAATTCAAAATTATGTTGTATTCATTTGAAATTGAATTCTTTATTTTCTCTTTTTATTTCTGTTTTCTACATAAATAATAATATATTTATATAATTTGATGATTGAATTTTCCATATGAAATATGTTATTATTTTTTTAAAGATATTTTATCAGTTGATTCGGCATCAGTTTCATCATCGACATCAATTGTGAAAATAATCAACGACAAATATATATGTTTTCAAAATGTTATGGAATCATCATCATCATTTTTTTTCATTTTGCTTCATCATTTTTTTTTCATTTTGCTTCATCATTCTTTTTTTGTTTGTTTGTTTGTTCATCTATGGTTTTGACATAAACACACACACACACACCGCCTTTTATATGTTGATCTTGTTTTTTACAAGAATCCAATGTTTTTTCTTTCTATAGAAATTAATATGGTGCAAGCAAGCAAGCAAACAAGAAAAATGAAATCATAAATAAATTTGATGATGATTCTCATTCACATAGCTTAGTGTATTAGCGTGTACACTTTGAAGAAGAAAAAATTTTTTTTAAATGTGAGAAATATTCAAATAATCATATTATATCGATGATAGAGAGAAAGAGAGAGAAAATGTATGTTTTTGTATCGTAAATCATTTTGTATATAGACAGCAAAAAAAAAACAAATCAAACACAAATCGTTTAATGTTTTCTTCTTTACAAAGCAACAACAAAAAAAAACGAATAAAATTTCCATATAGAAAGAAAAAGTTTTCGTCAGTTGTGTCAAATTCGGATGACAAGAATTTATTCATTTTTTTTCAATCAGACAATCAATTCACTAGGACCCTGTGGAAATTTTGGAAACCTAGAGTATGATTGAATGAGTGAAACAAAAATTTATTCTATACGTCTCTCTCTCTCTGTGTGTGTGTGTGTTTCTGAAAAAATTGTTTTTTATCATAATTAAAAGTATTAATTAGATTTGTCTATTGTTTCTTTCTTTGTTAGATACGTACGTGTATGAAACGAACATACTGGCCACTTGGGATAACCGAAATGAAACCGTTTTTATATTTATGTCATTTATCCAATGAGGATAAAATGAATTTTTTTTTTTGGAATTTTAGCAACGATGTATCAAGAATAATAATGAAGCATATATTCACCATCAATAATAAGTCACATATGGCTATGATGATATTAATTTAATTAAATTTTAATTCAATTAACGTTTGCTAGTGGTGATCAAGCAATTCGTTAACGAAAATAAAAACGGTGACAATATTCGTGTTGTAATAATAATAATAACAATCCCCGGAGAGCGAGGGAAAGAGAGAGAGAGAAATAGATTGACCAGGTAAAAATTTTATTTTCAAGAAATAAAATTGGTTCCAGAAACCACCACCACCACACTGAATATAGAAGGGAACAGTTAATTATATTTCTTTTTTAATTAATTAACTAATTAATCAGCCTTGGAATGTGAAATGGCCACATTTTTGTACGGTGTGTGTGTGTGTGTTCAGGTCATAAGATAGAAGGAAAAATCAAGTCTATGTTAGAGTGTCTTGCTGTGTTTGTGTTTGTTAATGAAATTAAAATTGCCATTAATATATTTTTTTTGGCCGCAAAAAAAGACGATAAATTATCATTTTTTTTCACCTGGAATATTTTCTTATCGTTTAACTTGTCCAGGTATGCACAGGATAGAAAGGTGGTTGTTATAAGGGGAAAAAATAAAGATATTTCTTTATGCTAAAGTTATTGCCATTTGTTTGGTCGATCGTTGCTGTTCCTGTTGAATTCAATTAACATCGACGATTAAACCAACGAATAATGAAACAATTATTGAAATATTGTTTCAATGTTTGACGGCTATTAAATATGAACAAAACTGATGCTGTTGATAATATTGAAATCAATATGATCATTATATAAATGGATAGAAAACTTGTTCGTTTTGTTTGATCATCTGCTGTTGTTTGTGAAGAATATTCTGCATCAAAATAATCATGATGTGCATCACAACCGAAAAAAATTTGCCATGATTTTGTCTATGATAAACACGAATAAAATGAATATATTTGTTAACCATTTTTGTCAATGAATTACCTTTTTTGCCAATAAAAATTGTCGACTATCAATCAATTCGATCAACAACGATCGTCTTGTATGGATCGATGATAATGATAATGGCTCAACCATTAGATAAATTTTATTGTCACCCAGCACTGATCGCCATTGAAATGCACCTTTATAACGATATTTATCCAATTGATGGATCGGTTTCAAAAACCAATGTGTAGATTTTTCTGTCAAAACACGAATTGTACTTAATGAAAATGGTTCACTACGGTTGGTGAAAATGTAAATTGGTTTTTCCCGTTCCTTGTCATAAACGAATGTTGCAAAATGTATGGCACTCATATGTTGTACATATGTACAGGGAAATATTCGACACATAATTGTTGATGATGTAAGACATTTTCGATTTAAATTATTACATTTTAAATTATCGTTCCAATTAATGTGACAATTCGAATGTAACGACGACAATAGATCTTTACAATCGAATGTCCGGTTATCGATAGCTATTCGACGATCATTACAACAGAAGAAATTTTCACCATTCGAAATATTACGATAGAAATCAATATAAAGCCCTAATTGATCAATGTAGAATCCACCACGTGGTAATACTATTTGTATGAAAATAATTTATAAAGTAATTAGATTATAATGAATCAATAAAAAAGGAAAAATTACCATCAGCCCGATTGATGGATGCAGAATCATCAAATTCATAATGGAAACGATGTTTATCACCATCATAGTAGAGACGAAATTCATCATAAACAAATTGTTTTCGATCAGGGTGTATAACACGTCGATTAACAGTAAAACGATATGATCGACCATCATAACTTAATGAATCGAAATAATTTTGTGAACAAAATAAATGTTTAGCCATGTGAGAATTCTTCTTTGGTTGCAATTTGTTGCCAATCACTGTTGATAAAGATGAATGAAAACCAAACCACAAAACATATGATAATAAATTGATTTTCAACCAAAAACAAACTATAGTTCGATGATAATACATTATTCGATATTCGATTAAATCGAAGCTTTTCGATTTTTAAATGAATGAATCTTCATGTTCATCATCATCGTCGTCATTATTATTTGATCAGGATCAATCAATTCGTGCTTTGATTGATCAAATGATTAGCAATAAATAATCGAAAACAAAAACAAAAACAAAAAATAAAACAAATTAGCCGGAAATTTCTCCAAACAAAACAAACTTTATTTCCATATTTGGATTCAAAATCGAAATTGTGTGTGTGTGTGTGTTTGTGTGTGTGGATAGTGGCACGCCATCTATCGCAATATGTTGAATCGAATGAAATACGGACAATTTTCTGGTAAACTCGGGAAAAATATTTTTAGTAACATTTTTTATTATGAGGTATTGCAATGTAAACTGCATACTTGCAGGTTATTTTGCAGGCTAAACTGCAAATTTGCGGGTTATTTTGCAGGATAAACTGCAAAGTTGCGGGTTATTTTGCAGGCTAAACTGCAAAGTTGCATATTAACCTCCATCAAAGAATGGTAAATACACTTTCTAATTGGAGCTTAACCTCCAATTTTGAATTTCATTTTTAATCAAATTTAGAATTTAATTGATAAATTCTAAAAAATAAATTTTTAAATCATAAAATATCAAAATATCACTTCACAAATGAATAACAAACAACCCATTATGGGAATAATCTTTGATTCATTCATTTTCAATGTAATTTTACAATTTTATGATTGTTGTTGTTTTAGTTGCCAAATATTATCGGATATTTTTTTTTTTGAGTTTTTATTCGTAATTTTAAAGTTATGATTTATCTCGTAAAAGAATTCACCTACATCACAATTAATCTTCAAAAAAGAAAAAATAAAAGATCTATCTGGTTGAACAATCGTTTGCAAATGATCATGGTAATACACATATAACCATTTTCATAAAAATTCTGATATTTATTGCATCGATGGTGAGGAACTGTTCAATTGGTTATGAAAATGACTTACAAGAATGCAAAAAACTACTGAAACGTTGAATGCTGATAATTTTATATGATAATTAAACAAAGATTGCTCTCAAGTAACATCAAGTAATCTATCTTTGGAAACTAGCTGCGTGGCAGTAAATTACAAATGAGATGACCGAGTACAAAAATCATTTTAAAAAAATTTAATCTATTAGAGAACAATTTTTCCAACATGAAGAGTTTTCAAAACAAAATCAAAAATGAATTGACAAATCAATTCAACGAATCAATGGATCAATTCAACACTAAGAATCAATTGATGATTACGCCTTTATGGAAAAAAAATCTTTTGCCAAAGCTTTATTTGAAACTAAAAAATACAATGTTCCAACTGAACATCTTTGTATCATAAAGTCAAATTCGTGAAAAACATTCACCCTATGTTTACTAAAAAAGATCTGCCTGATATGATTTTAAACCAAAATGATGAAATTCGTCAAGTAATTGATGATCCAAAGGAATTGTTCAAAATTATATTTGTTAAAAATGATTGAAACATGCAATTGCCCTGGCTACACCGAATTGTGGTAATTGTGAATAAGCAATGGAAAAATCTTTATTGATTACAATGTCTATACTATTGCAAATTATGTCTCAGTTACCCAATGCTTATGTCTCAGTTACCCAATGATGATGCCTTTGTTTTGGAAAAAAATGATTTTAGAAATGAACAAGTGTGTGTCAAATGAGTTAAAAATATTTTATATCCATCCAAGGTCAATTGTCGAATGGAAATCAAGTTCGAGTTGAATTTACCAAAAGCAACATTTTTAAGAATCAATTGTTGATTGGCTTTTGGTTTAATAATGACATCACCGATTTTTTCAGATTCAACTGTTTCACCACTAGCTGTTTCAAATTGAATTTTCTTAAATTCAGGATCAATAAGATTTTTATCATCAACTGTGGTATGTGTGGTACAGCCTGAATCGAGAATCCATATGTTTGAGGATTTATCAATATTTTTCGTTATAATTGATTTTGCAACTTGTTTATTTGATCCATTCGATTTATTATTTGATGATGAAGATGATGATGCAGATTTGGATGATGATGGCACTGATGAAGATGTAGATGATGATGATGATTTATGTTTTTCATCCCAAAATTTAAATCTACAATCTTTTTCTTGATGTCCAAATTTCTTACAATACGAGCATTGAACATTATTTTTGAATTGTTTTTTATTACGATTTCTCATCATTTTTGCCACTTCTCGATTATCCGATGTCGATTTTGATGTTAATGAATTAATTTTCATATTTTCATCATATTCGATAAATGCATTCATTATATCTTTCATTGAACAAGTTTGTAGAGCAGTAATTCTGTCTGACAACTGTTCAAATTTAGGAATGGATCGGATCATACCCAATGTAACAACACATCGATGTTGATCACTATAATGGCACCAATCAGATTCAACTGCTTCAAATTTAGCAGTCAAGGTTTCAAGCCAAACACGTAGTGGACCCGATGTATATCTGCAAGACGTTAGTTCCATGTGTTTACGAACAGCAGTAGCAAACGTATCTTTTTCTATTTTAGCCATATATGACCAAACTTCGTATACAGTTTTGCAGTGTTCGATTATTTCCAATTTATTTGACTCGAACATCAAACGGATGGTACCGAGACAATTTTCATATGATCGATATTGAGAATCATCAGGTAGAATTTCACTTTCAAGAAATCTACTATAGCCACAGGATCGAAATGCAGATTTTACAGTTGATAGCCATATTTTGATGTTCGAACCATTGTATTTTACAACTTGATTTAGTGCAAAACTTTCATGATTATTTTTTACGTTACCATTATCATTGTTTGATCGACTATTGTTCGATTCCAACGTTTCAAGTCTTGAAGTCAACCGCTCCAATACCCGAACAATATTTTCCGTACATTTATTATCACCCATGATAGACTGTCGTTAACCACGAAGCTCAGCTACCAAGATGTTGAGGATGAATGACAAATAAAATACGTTTTCAATAAATGGTTTTATTTTTAATAAATCATGAAAAATTAATAATAGTATTATTTTAACACAAATTAATTCGAACACGTGTATTTATAAATATTGCAAAATCATACATTGCAAAAATACAATAATTCATAGATGTTGTTACTTAAACAATATTTTAACAAAAAATGAATCGTTTATGGAAATAATTTCAAGATTGCAATTTTTCAGATTAAATAATTATTTTTTATTGGTTTTTCATTGTATATTATAGATTATCAATAATATAGATAGATAAATGATTAAATAATTCAATAATTTGTAACAGTCGTTTTATATAATTCCCGGTCTGGTCGGGTATCCGGGCTTCTGAAGGGGATATTTTCTGTTTACAAAGTTTATCCATCCTAATTAAAAAAGAAAAAATTGTCTAAGTTCGCGCTAACAAATTTTCCAAACTATCATGTTTGTCACAACCAAGTTAATATTGTTGGCTCAGTTGCAAGCTAATCGAATGGTCATTATGGCCTCGAGACATTTTACCCTTTCACCTTTCAAAATGTAAGCTATGCTCCGCCTTGTAAAATGGTTGTTTAACTTTAACAGTTCATTTTGATGGTTATCAAAATGAACAAACATGCTTGCAAGCATTTTGCTTGACGGTTGGAAAAAATATTTTACATTTGGTCTTTGTGCAAAAATGCTCGTTTTTTTTCTCAAGCTTCGTCACTCGTCTTGTTCATTTTTTCATTGCTGATTTCGGACAATTTTTGGTGAAATGATCATGAAATTCTCAATTTTTTCGGGTTATAATGATTATTTGGTACTGACTTTGTTCCATCACAAATGTTAATCAATATTTCGGGTATGTCTCATTTTATGATATTTCACTAACTTTCCATTTCTAGTTTTACTGATTTCTCATTGACATGAGAAAAATTCATAGCTATTTGGTAAGTTTGGTTATTATACTTGATAACGTTATGTTTTTTAGGTATGTTTCTGAAATTCGATTTTTCATCATGTTAGATATTGATTTGGCGGTTTCAGTCTTCAGTGGCATCAGATTCAAGAAAAGCTCGGTAATGTTCAACTTTAAGTTAGGAATAGGATAGAATAGGCTAGGTTTAGGAACATGATCTGAGCTTTTTCCTATTGGATTTGGTGCTAGTTGAAGTTTTGAAACCAATGAAGCAATTGACAAACATGATTAATTTTCGAAGATTCACGAAATGAAACACATAGTTGAAAGTGGTAATGGTAAGCAAATGAATGAATTGATTGACCGAAAAAACTAATATTTATTTCCATTTAGGTGAACATTTTGGAAATTGAATCTGGAATCAAGCCAGTTGGAGAAATCAGAGATCATGGTATGTAAATTGTTCAATTGATTACCCAAACTAACAACTATTTTCTTGACTCGTTTTCTAGATTCATTTTGGAAAAGGACAACGGAATGCACATTACGATAGATTTTTATTTACATGGTATGTGATTCTTGATTGAAATGATTGAAATAACTAACGAATTTCTTTATTTAAGATCGACAACTAGTCTTGGATCATAAAGATTGGATTGGCGAACATATGCTCATGGTCATTGGTTAATTTATAAATGGATCAATATGGACAAGACGAAAATTGGATCGTATAATTTGGTTTTTTAATTATTGTCATCATTGCTTTATTAATTTAATATTAATTTTGAATAAAATTTTTTAATCCTAATATGGGGGTAAAATTAATGAAGTGAATGGGGGGCAAAATGAATTCAAATTTGGAGGGTAAACTGCAGGGTTAACAAAACTTCAAATTTGGAGGGTATATATGGTGAAGCGTTCATATACAATGTTACATAAGCTGCAAGTTTGCAGGGTAAACTGCAGGGTTAACAAAAATGCAAATTTGGAGGGCATATAAACTGCAAATTTGCAGTTTAAGTTACATTGTATATGAACGGTCCCTTCATTTCAAGGTAAACTGCAAATTTGCATTTTTGTTAACCCTGCAGGGTACCCTGCTTACTTTTGGCTCTGTGTTGTTGTTATTTTAAAACGCACATCGTTTTCGATCTCTAAATTTTAAGCAGATTTAAAAATATATATTCGTTATATCGTTATTATATTTGTCTTCATTGTCTGTGTATTTGTTCTGTTGTTGTATAAAATCATTCAAACAGTTGCAATTTATATTTATCAATGTAAATGTCGAACTGTCGACATCATCAACATAAACAGTGATCATATATGGCCTGTCATCAATAATATTATTATTATTACTTTAATTTGATTTAAATTGATCATTATCATCGTCAAAATGATAAAAGTTTATTGTTTTGGTAATACCGAAAATGGTGAACTTGGCCTCGGTGCTATTGAAGATGAACATATTTTGACACCACGAAAACAACGTTTACCATATGATCGACGTAAATATACTCTAGTACAATTAAGTTCTGGTCGAAATCATACATTGTTATTGTTGAAAAATATTCAACTTGATCAAAATGTCGTTTTCAGTTGTGGTTCCAATGATCGACTACAATTAGGTCGTAATGGATCATGGAAAAAATTAGAACAACTTGATGGCCTTATTCATCATAATATTGTTAAAATATCATGTGGTTCGAATCATTGTCTTGTATTATCCGAAGCTGGTCAACTATTTTCCTGGGGTTGTAATCTTTTCGGTCAATTAGGTTTAGGTAATCGTGAGGAATACGAAATCGCTAAACCATCATTGATTAAGAAATTGGCTACCAAACAAATCATACAGATCAGTTGCGGTGGTAATCATTGTCTTGCATTAACAAAAAGTGAGTTTCGATTTTGTTCTGATTGTCATTCGTATTAATTATTTTTTTTTGAAGAAGATGGTGAAGTTTATTCCTGGGGATCGAATGCATTCGGTCAACTTGGTCTCGGTAATTCGGGCTATTGTCTTAGTATGCCAATGATGTTGACATCATTACAATGGACACCTGTACGACAGATTACTGCCGGTGGTTCACATTCAGCTATATTATCCTGTACTGGTGCCATTTATGTTTGGGGCAAAAATGAATTCGGTCAATTAGGCCTAAGTGATGTTGAAAATCGTTCTCTACCAACATTGCAAAAATCTCTTCGTAATCAAAAAATTGCTTATATTAATCTTGGTGATGAACATTCGGCTGCATTAACATTTGAAGGTGGATTATTTACATGGGGTGCCGGAATGTATGGACAATTGGGACATGGCCGTAATACGAACGAAGTTCTTCCACGAAAAATATTCGAATTAATGGGTGTACGAATCGTACAGGTTTCTTGTGGTCGTTGTCATACATTGGTTGTAAGCAAACAAGGACGTATTTATTCATTTGGTTTAAATGGATCCGGTCAATTAGGTATCGGTAATACATGTTCAAAATATTTACCCGTATCGATACGTGGACCATGGAGTGAATTAAATACTAAAGATGTTATTGTTCGTGATAATCAACGTTCATTATTATTGTTCGATGAATCAGTGGATGAGCAAGAATTTCGTAAGACATATACTTCATCGGCGAATGATCAAACAATGGATGGTAGTTCATCATCATCAGCCAGTCATCAATCATCCGATTTGATGATGGAAATAAATGAAATGGAAACCATTGTCAGTGAAGATGAAGAAAAGGACATTCGTGATAATCAAAATAACAATGATAATTTCATTATTGAAGAACCTGAAGAAGACCGATACAACAACTGTCAACAACAACATCAACCATGTTCACAGGCAAAATTTATATGTGCAAATGATACTGTTTTTGATGAATCAAATCTATCATTACAGATTGATGAATATGAAAGTGATCCAGATTCGGATGAAGAAGAAGGACCTAATCGTTTGCAATATATTTGTAAAGAAATTGTTGCTGGTAAAGGTGATCATAGTTTCGTCCTGACACAATCATATATGGAACAAATTATGCCGAAAGATTCACGACGATTAAGCGTTAATGATGAAATTCTTAAGATGAAAAATCAAATTTTCGAACAATTTCCCAGCATTTCAAAAGAATCATCAATACCATTAGATATTGTTGATAATATTGAAACGATTTTTTCATCATTTCCATCAATGAATGCAAGTTTTTTGTGTTCACCAAGTAACGATGACAATGATGGTAACAATGCTAATGATAATCGTAATAATCATAATGATGATGAACGAAAAAAATTACAAAAATTTAAACAACAAGAAAATATTCATTTCGAAGAATCGATCAATTTTTGTGATGGTTGGATCAATTGGCAACAGGCTTTCCATTGTTTCAATATGATTGAAGATGCACAAAATGAACGTATCGATGAATTGATCTATCAATTGTTATGTAAAATAATGCCTAATATGCCCGATTTGACAAGTCTACATAAACGTCGATTAGAGTTAGATGATGAAAAGTATAAGAATGAATTTCCTGATATACTCGATGAAGAAGTGATGCGTGTCTATCAAATATTGCCATTATTTCATATGTTTCGTATGCCAACATATTGTGAACGATCACAGAAATTGATTACAGCTTATGCAACATCATTAAATACGTTATCGGAACGTGGTATTGGTTGTATGAAAATCCGATGGTACTATATGAATCGAAGATTTTTCAAAAATCTTATTGAAATTTTTAAGAATAGTGTCAAACTTAATCTATATGAACAATATAAAGAAAGTGAAAGGAATTTAAACAATGGTGATCCGAATATACAGCTGGAATATAATTCAGGTCATGATATTTTCCATCAAGCTTCGAATTTCTTTAATAATTTAACAGTCCGATCACCAGATTCACCATCATCTTCATCAACAAAACATTTTTTCATACCACGTAAAATTCATTTTAATCTGGCCGTATGTCTTTTTGCACTGAAACGTTTATATTCGGTGAACAAATTTAGTGGAAAGATTTCCCATAAAGAATTCTACATTCATGGTATAAGCGATTGGTTTGATCTGAGATATGATTATTATCTTTGGAAAAATAATCGTATCAAAGAGCCGAATGTATTTTATCTATGCAATTATCCATTCATATTTGATCCACCGGCCAAGACAATTATTCTGATTGCCGATTCTGCTATTCAACAAGAATCGGCTGCAAATCTATCGATTCGTAAGCAGATACTTATGTCGATTCCGATCGATGGTACCATACAGGTGAATCCGTTCATCGATATTAGTGTTCGTCGTGATAATATAGTTGAAGATACTATTCATCAGCTCTGCCTTTTCAGTAGATATGGCGAGGCAGACCTGAAAAAACCACTTCGTGTACTTTTCTCAGGTGAGGAAGCTATTGATGCCGGACGTGGAATGAAAAAAGAATTTTTCCTGCTGGTCATGAAAGAAATGTTGGATCAAAAATATGGAATGTTTGTTGAATATAAAGAAACGAATACGATTTGGTTTAATCATGTTATGACCGATGAAGACGATGTTATGTATCGATTAGTTGGAATTCTTTGTGGCCTAGCCATCTATAATCAGGTATTTTTCTTTGTCTGATATTTTTATTTGAAATTTTCATTTTCATTATATTGTAGGTGATAATCGATTTGCCTTTTCCATTAACATTGTATAAAAAAATTCTCAATGAAAATCTTGGACTCGATGATCTTGCCGATTTGGATCCGATTTTGGCAAAAAACCTGAAAGAAATACTCATATCCACTTATAAACCAGACGAATTTAATGCTATATTTGGCGATATGACATTTGTGATTACATTACATACATTTGGTTCACCCGTTGAATATGAACTTTGTCCAGATGGTAAACATCGACAATTAACATATGAAAATCGTGAAGAATATGTCGAAATGTATTGGAAATATTTATTAATTAATTCGATTGAAAAACAATTCGAATCATTCTATAATGGTTTCATGAAAGTTTTGGATAAAGATGTGTTACAAATATTTCAAGCCGAAGAATTGATGCAATTAGTAGAAGGTGAAGAATTGATCGATTGGAATGAATTTGAACGGGCAACTCATTATAAGGAACCATTCAATAGGGATCATCCAACTATTCGGCTATTCTGGAAAGTTTTTGGTTTGTTTTCCAATGATGAAAAACGGAAATTTCTTAAGTTTTTGACCGGATCTGATCGTATACCAATAACTGGTGTTAAATCAATGGATGTAAGTATTTTTAATTAGTAACTGCACTATTAATATTGATTTTTCATTTTTCAAGATTGTTATTCAACCAATGAACGTATCTGATGATCATTTACCTGTGGCGCACACATGTTTTAATATATTGGATCTTCCACTTCATTATGAATCGGAAAATTGTGAAGAATTAATGAGAAACAATATATTGAAAGCTTGTGAATATTGTATTGAATTTGCCTTGGTCTAAATATTTTTATTTATCTAAAACAAGTTCAAAAACTATAAAAATAAAATTCATATTGTTGTTGTTGTTGTCTCATTTTAAAATTTAAATGATTATGTAATATTGTGGATATATCAGTTAATAGATAGCAGCACTTTTATAAATTAAAATCAAAAACCAGTAATTTTAAATTATATGCCCCCTTCTGGGCTTTTTTCGAATAAAAAAAGTTTCGCTTAAATAAATGAATGGAAAAAAATCCTATGTGTAATTTTATTTGTAATTACAAAGTTTTTACAAAAAAAAAATATACAAAAAATCAAAATTGATAGATAGAGTGGTCAACAATCAATTATTAATAAATTAATTGATTTTAGAAAAAAAATGTACAAGAATGGAAGCATTCATCGCAAAAACACAACAGAGATATTAACATCATTCATTCCTAATAGTCGTTTTACGTTTATTACGTTTTTTATTATGAATTCTATTCTTGGCCATCTGATCATGTATATTGTTCATATTCGAATCATTTGCATGTTGTTGTTGTTGTTGTTGTTGTTGATGATGATAATGAGGATCATATTGGTTATCACAATTATATAATAATGGACCAGTTGTTTTACTAGCCAACGAACTGGAATGAGAAGAAGTTGAATCATTGAGTGTCGTTGATTGTAAGCCACCACCACCACCACTACCAATAATTTCACTTGATGCATAATAATGATTTGAATTATAATTTTTGTTATTATTATTACCATTCGATGATGAACAATCGGAACCAGAATCATATGATGATGATATGGGGTTATTTATGATTCGTGCAACGGATGATGATAATATGTGGCCATTATTGATAGGTGAATGATGTGATGATGGTGGTTGATTGAATGTCATCAATTGATTGCGACCATCGTTTCGGCTATAACCAATTGGTAATGAATCTAAATCATTTCGATATAAGAATGGAATCGATCTACCCGATGGTAGACTATTTTGTTGTTTTTGTTTTTGAATTTCATGTACAAATTGTATCTGAATGATTAATGTAATTTAAATCAGACATTATTTTACAATTAGTTAAAAAAATTGGACTTACCCTTTGATCATTATCAACACCACCATTATCATCATCATCATTATCGTCATCATTATTATTGTCGGTAAATTTATTGGTTCTAATGTTTGAGGTAGCATCAAAATCTGTATTGAACATATTGAAGCCAACATTTGTAGTTCTTGATGATGATGATAATGGTTGTGTTGAGGATTGATGATGATGATGATGATGATCATTCATTGTCGTCATCATTATCATTTTTTGAAATGATGTTTGACATTTACCATTACCATTTAAATGGGTAACAAGAACTGGCTGTCGACCATTCAATGGATGTATCATATCCGTCGTTGTTAAATGATGATGATTATGATGATTTGTATTTAGTAATGGTGATTCACTGAATGAATCATTATTTATTAAATTGTTTGTTTGTTTCGGTTTAAACGATGTTATATTATCATAATGTTGTTGCTGTTGTTGTTTATTGATTGATTTTTCAATCAAAGGTGTCATTGCATATGGTTCAGCATTTATATTGTCATCACCGTGTTGATGTTTTTGTTGTTGTTGTTGTAGTGGTTGACCATAATGTTTAAAATCATTCACTTCTGCATATTCATTATTATCTGGACAACTGGAATATTTACTCGAACTATTACTTGTATCGTATTTGGCAAAATTTTCGCTAAAATTTTCATCCGCTTTTTCATAGATTGATTTAACACTATTCTTTCGATTTGAATAAAATAATACTAATCGTACGGCTAAAATAAATAGAATGATTGCCATAAGAATAGCGATAACATATGCCCAGAATATTGGTGATAATAGATATTCGTTTTGATTGTTCTCGCTATCTGATGATCCATTATAACCAATTTGGCCATTATAACTGTTGTCACCATCCATACTCAAATAAATAGGCAAACTAAGTGGACCATTACCAATCGACGTAAATGCTGACATTTGTATAGAATATATTGAACCAATGGTTAGATTATGAAGAGCAATAGAATTGAATGTCGAATCTAAAGAAAGATTTGCGTATAGATAGCTATTATTTTCAAAAATCTGTAAATAATAGCCTAATATGATTCCATTTCGATTTTGATCGATTGGTGGTAACCATTCAACGATGGCCGACGTAGAATTGATTACTTTGGCTGTTATTGAATATGGTGGTGCTGATGGTCTATCTTCATAAGTACGTTCAATGACGATATTACTTGGACGGCCTTCAACATTTCGAAAAAATGGCATAACAAAGAATCGATATGTCGTATATTTATTTAGATCTTGTATGTTATATGTATATGTTGATCCACCAAAAACGGTTACCATATTGAATTTAGCTCCATTCACTGATGATGATGATGATAATTGATCATTGATATTGTCAATATTTTCAAATCGAATATAATAGCCATCGATAAAATCTCCATTTCCAACAACATTCCAGAACAATTTGATTGATGTAGAAGATATGGAACGAGCATCGCGTAATTTAATTTGTATATTATTCAATATTGTACGAGCTTGAGCGATAATCATCTCTTCATTCATCGGTGATGATGATAATTTCTGATGATCTGTCGTATGAACTTCATCGGATACATCACTAGGCAAACCCATTCCATGTATGTTCTGTGCACGAACATAGAATATATAACGTGTATTTGGACGTAAATTTTTTACAGTGAATATATCGGCAACAATTCGATTGGCAACGGAAAACCAACCCTGATTACGAAAATCTGGACTATAAGCTTCAATTGTTGTACCAAGATGTGTAGCTGCAGATGAGCCACTATTACTTATGCTGGTGCTACGTTGCCATCTTAATGTTATTGATGTTTCTGTAACATTGACAATCGATGGTTTTGTGGGAGCTTCAGGAAACATTGTTGGATGTGGCATTTTTGAAAAATTAATATTCGGATTTCGGGGTGATTCAACTGAAAGGCGTGCTGTCCAGCTAGTGGAACTACCCGTCAATTGACTGGTGGCTAGACAAGTGTAAATACCGGAATCGATACGTTGAATATCTGAAATAAAAAAAAAATGGAATGAAGTAAAATTAAACGAAACTGGCAAGGATGCCTACTTTGTATATGTAGTCCAGTTCTTGTGATTTGGAAACGGCTATCATTATGTATTGGTATCTGATTGTATAGCCATTGAGTTGTTATTGGATCGGCATCAATCATATTTGAAATCACCGATAATGAAGATGTTGCTTCACATGGTAAAAATGCTTTCGTATCTAAAGGCAATGTTTGATTGGTTGCGCCCAATCGAATACGTGGTGGAGGCACATCATTTCGATCCAATATTTTTAGATATGTTCGTGACATTGTTGAACCAACAGTAGATATAGCTGAGCATAGATAATATCCTTGATCTTGTCTGGCTAGATTAGTGATGGTTAATCGGCCGTCATTCGATAAATTATATTTGCCATATTGATGACCGGGAAACATTAGAAGATGAGCACTTTCTTTATGCCAAAAATACAATGGCTCAGGATTTCCATTTGCCATACATTCTATATGTACTACATCATTCACTAATGCTTGTATCGTTTTCGGATTGGTTATCAATGTTGGATGAGCTATGATTTTAAATCAAATTAATTCATTCAATCAATTATAATAATTATTGACAGCAATTGACAACTTACAATTGACAATTAATGTTGCAGATTTTGTTAGTTTTCCGGCTGCATTTTCAGCATCACAAACATAGGTCTGTACACAAGAAAAAAAAATGAAATGAAATGAAATGGATCGTATCGAACACACATATGTTCCTTGAACAACAACTTACCCCAGCATCGGATATTTTAACCTGATGTATTTTTAACGCTTTATCTTCGAGGATTTGTGATCTATATAAAAAAACAAAGTTTAGTATATCGACATTCCTAGTAATTATATATGATTAACTTACTTGTCAATGGCTATATCACCTTCAATTTTATGCCAAGAAATTTCTGGCTTTGGATCACCACCAACTTGACAATGAAATATAATATCAGTACCGGCCATTGTTTTTATACTATCTGGTGGCCTTATAAAATATGGTTCAACTAAACGACGAACGGACATTGTGAATCAATTGGAATAAATTCATTAGAATAAAAGCAATATACTTACCTAATACTTTGAGCGTTACGGCCGGTGATTCACGTACGCCAATCATATTTTTTGCAATACATTGATATTGTCCTTGATCATCTTTCATCACATCATTGATAACAAGATTTGTACCATCCAATCGAAAACGACCTGAATCCATATAAATTTTTTGTCCATCATGTAACCAATGAACATTTGGTTCAGGACGACCTTTTGGTGGTGAACATTGCATTATGACTGTTTTTCCTTGTGCTACTTGTGTATTGATGGGCAATACACGAAATTCATCTTTTAACACTATAAGAACAAGAAGTAAAGAAAAAAATAAATTTAGATTATTCAAAAAAAATTTAATGGAATTCTTATTAAATTTTAGCCAAAAAAAAAAAAAAGAAAGAACAAATAGTCATTTCATCGAAATGACAAACAATTGACATTTTACTTGACATATTTTGTGGTATGAATAAGTCAAACAAACCTTTGTTGTTGTTTGATCCATCAAGATTATTATTCAACAATTTTTCAATGACAAGAAACCTATATGTCTACACATATGATATGATGTGTGGTATTATAAAAACATGAGTTCATCATCATCATCATCATGAAAATTGAAAAAATCATTCATTTAATAGTAATGAGTAAACATTGTCACATCAAGATGTATTTGTATTTGGGTAATAATTGTACCGCATCATATATTCATGAATAAATAAATCCATAGATTATTTCAATTAAATATTTGCATATATGGGGAATTCCAATCATAAAATGATCATTTACAAGTTCAAACAAACAAACAAACAAACATTACTTTGCGTTTAGCTTTAATTCTCATTCAAGTGATCATTAATTCAGTCTTATTATAAATGTGTGTTTGCTTAATGTGTTTGTATTGTTGTTGTTTTTTGTAGCAAATAAACTTCTTTTTTTATTGATTATCGGTAACTTGTTTCAATTTAATTGAATTCAATGCCATTTTTTTTTTTTTTGGATTACAACAAAAGATTTTTCTTTCCAGAAAAAAGTATGAATTAATGATGAATCGAAGCGCATAATATTCAAGAACCAATCATCAAGATTTAGTTAACACAAATTAAACTGTGTGAATAACCTCATCATCATCATCCACAAAAAAAAGAAAAGAATCTATTATTAATAATCGTCTGACTAATTTGAATGAATAAATGTCTGGAATTTTTTTGATTTTGAGTTTTTTTTTGCTGAAAATGTTTATCAAAACGGACACATTTATTTATAAACATTTGAATCAAATATGATTATATTATACTTACTGGACACAAAATAATCGAAACCAAAATCAACAAAAAAAAAATCCTTAAATAATCAAAAAAAAAACCAAAGTAGCTCAAACATCATCATCATCATCATCATCATTATTATTATTATTATGACCACATTAATAATACCGACCGGATTTCGAATGGACAACAAACCATAATTCTCTCATTCTTTTGACCAAATAATAATGATAATAATAAAATAGAATTGCCAGGTAGCTTTTTTTTATAGAGAAAGAAATCAAGATAGATACAATGTAATTACAATTCGTATAACGAATAAATTTCCTTTTAGGCTTAGCATTTTTTTTTTTTTTTTTTTTGTCATTGTGATGATAGTAATGGTGGTGGTTGTCGAAGGAAACGATGAATTGTCAAAATGATGATGATGAGGATGCTTATCTTGCTTTCTTGCCACTCGATTTTTCAATTTGATTCAATGATAAGTATCGATCAGATATTGATGTGGCAGAGAAAAAAAAACCAAACGAAAAAGAAAGAATTGCTTAGCAACCACCACCAAATAGTATAAATGAAAAAAAACCCAGAAGGCCTAGAAATGGACCAACATACACAAAGAAAAAAAAGCCAAAACTAAAGCTGATCACAAATCTTGATCGATTCTTAATTAAAGTAGAATTAATTCTTCTGACAAAGTCGATGATGATGAAAACAAAAAAAAAAAATACAGGTTCTATAATAGAAGATATGAAAGAAAGAAAATGGTAGCACTGTTGTCGACAATAGAAGCCAGTATATTTTTGCCTTATTAACTTTCATTTTCAAATGGAAAGAAAATTGAATTTGCCAAGCCCATTGGACATATCACATACACACACACACACACACACACACACACACACACACACACACACACACACACACACACACACACACACACACACACACACACACACACACACACACACACACACACACACACACACACACACACACACACACAATGGTGTAGTACGAAAACAATGGAAGCAATGTCGATCCATTTGGATCGAAACAAATGTCAAACGTCAGTTATGTCAAAAACGATGACGATGAATAGGAAAAAAAAGGAAGGAGAAAAAAAATTTAATCACCAAAATCGAACAACAACAACAACAAAACCGATCGATTATGGGTGTATTATTTTATATAATCAAGCAAGTTTGGCAAGGGGTGTAAAAAAATGAAAATGGAACGTGAAATATTCAAATTCATTTTTTGTTTCTTTGGTTAGAACTTTATTATTATTAGACAGTATAGTGGTTGATGACAAGTGACATAAGGTTCATTTTTGTCTTGGTTTGGGTAAAACCATATTCTTTTTTTTGTAATATAATTTCGATAAAAAACTATATTGACAACAACAAAAAAACGAATAAAGGCAAGATTTAGTCCTGGTGGCTTTTCTTTCTTTCTTGTTCTGATTGAATTCTTTTTTTACCGGTTGAAAAAAAACCTCATTGAATTGATTGTTGCCTATCTATCTCTCAGATTGATTGACCAGAAACAAAATCGATTTCGATTCTTTTTTCGATTTCAGTGATTTTATTCCGATTGGTCAATAATAGTAATAATAAAATTCAAACAAATAATAAAAAATAGAAAGATTCGGATCATTTTCTATTCGATGATGATGAGAAATCGATTCGAATTGAATCAGAATAGGATTTCTTCTTTTTTTTACAATCTTGATCAATGGACCAATCGAGAGTTTCAGATTGTATCCAATCATCATCATCGATTATAATGGAGAGAGAGTGTCGAACTAATTTATAGAATCAGAATAATGTTTTTCCATTTCGTTTAAGATGAATTAGATTTGGGTTGGAAAATAAAATTACCAAATGACAACAACAACAACAACAACAACAATGTTCGTTCGTTCATTCAATAACTTGTCACCTAAACAGACATGTACGATTTATTATTGGATAGCCCAAAGAAAATAAAACTTGATTCAAATTAATCAAGACATCTTTTCAACTTATTATTACAGAGGTGTATCCGTTTGTGGTGTGTATGTTAGTAATGCAAGTGAACATTTGAATTCTGTCCAATGAAAGAAATCCGAGGATTTCAAAAAGAGTTTATTTGGCTGCTAATCAAATTGAACGACGACGACGACGACGACGGCGACATGGTTGCTAATTAAAATTTCTTTTGTTTTTTTCTTTTCCTCAATTTTCAAATAAATGAAATGAATACTCGAAAACTTTTTCTCTTTTCAGAAAAAAAACTTGAAGAATCAAGACAAAAACAAGGACAATTCTTATTTTTTTTCGCTTCACTTTCTTGCTAACTTTTCAGACAATCAAAAATTTTGTCCAATAACGAATGAAATAAAATTGAACGAATATATATCTAAATATATTGGAATTAGGCAGCAAGAAATAACGACTATTGAACTGAATTGCACGCAAAATTATTATTGTCGATCCAATAACAGAAATACCAAATAAAAGCAAAAACAAATGAAATTCGTAATTCAGAATGCAATTAATGATTTTAATTGTTTCGATTTTCTCATTCATTCCTATAACACGACAACATAATCGATTGATTCTATATCTACAAACATACAAAAATGAAATGAATGATCATTGTAAAACATTGAATGGGAAATGGAAATCTTTCGATTTTCAAAATATAGCTTACATTGAAAAAAAACATTGAGAATCATGCAATAATTAATTAAATATATTAAGAAGAAGACAATGGTTGTTGTGATGGACCTGGCAATGAGAATGGAAGGAAAAAAAATCTCACACACTTTGCGTGTGTCTAAATAATCTTGCTTTTCTTTACGGATTTTTATTATCATTATTATTATGGCGAATTTGATTCTCCATTTGGATTGTTGTTGTTGTTATTCACAATGAATGGATCACCAAATCTATCGAAAACCCAACAGAATCCCAAGTGTATATACCAAGTGTGGAGCGAATGGTTTTATCAGAAATTCATTGCTATTATTATTGGCAACACACATAGACATTATATTCGGAATTCGGTTTGTAACGATGTGAATGAATTCTTTCTATTTTGGTTCCGTTATTGTCATTTTTGTTTCTTGATGGTCAGGCTAATTAGACTGCTACTACCGTTTCAATGAATTGAAAGTTTTCTTTCTTGATTTTCAATCAGCCAAGCAAGCAAAAAAAAAAAAAAAAGAAAGCCAATGGGTTTTGGAAGCAAAGCAAATCCCGCATGAAGAAAACTTTTCTTTTTCGCAACAACAAACAAAAACTGAATGAAATTCATTTAGATTAGCTAAGCATTTTTTTCGATCCTTGAAAAAATAAAAAAGAATTGAACATAGTGAGAATTGACCATTTGAATTAGTAAAGTCAAATGTTTTTTTTTCCCTCTCGTCCGTTTTTTTTTTCGATCAGGCACCATTCAAATTGATTAACTTTGATGGCTATCTCTCTATATATGGGTTTTTATGATTATTATCATTTTTTTTCAGGACAAATTATCTGTTGTAATAATTGTAAAGAAAGAAAAATCTAAATTTTACGATGTGAATTTTTTTTTTTCGTATGATGACCATATATTTTTCATCTTGTATGTGAACATGATGATTACTATCTGTGGATTGATATCAAATTATCGAAATCCATTTAGCATACGATTGAAGCATCAACAACATCATTTAGACAATCTAAATAATAATAAAATAAAATTGTATGATTCAAGAATTTTTGTTGTCATTAAATTTAAGAATAACCGATTGAAAAAGAAGAAAAAGCCAGAAAGCATTTTTTTTTTTCTTTGATATTATCAATATTATACCCAAATTGAACATACAAAATGGACAACTAAAAACAACGAAAATAGTTGTCGTTAAGGATTAAAGAGGATGAACATAACGAAACTATTTTGCTTTAGTTTGCAGAAATATTTTCCTTGGCTTTCTAGTATTTCAATACAAACACACACACACACACACACACACACAGCCATTACTAATGTGTGACGCCACGGGAATTACTTTTTGGAATACCATCACTTTGAATGACTAAATAGTATATAGAGTGATAGATAGTGAATAGTGAAGAAAAAAAAAAAAAAAAAACATGGCTATCATCAAAAAGAATGAAGAAAAAAAAATTTTTTTTTTTCGTTAAAATAAAGTTTTTTTATTCTTTGGTCAAAATAGCAAAAAAAAAACTTTGAATATATAGTTAAATCGAATATATTAACCAGCCAAAAAACAACAACAACAACAACAACAAAAACTAAACTAAACGACCGACCACCAACAACCGATGATCATCATGATTATTATCATCATCATCATCATCATTGAATGAATAGCCCGTCGAATTCGTATTATAATTCTATAATCCCCAAAAGACTTATATCTATATATATATATAAAGTCACGATAAATGGATTGGATTGAGAATTATTACGTTATTTTTTTTTTTTTTTGGTTCTCTATGGCTCCATAATACTAGAACACTAACAACATTAAAACTGTGTATGTGTGTGTGTGTAAACGAAGTGAAAGCATCCAAATATGATTGGATACCAAAACGGATACCAACACACAATGTAAATTGTCTTTGTTGGATCATAAGAGACAGTGAATCAAATTCATCTAGTTCTCCATCATCATGATCATCATCCATGACTTTACATATCTATTCTATTGTTTTTCTTTCTCTCTCTTACTCTTTGTGTCTGTGTGTGTATGTGTGTCATTTGAAAAGTTACAGAATTTTTCAGAAGAATTCTCTTCTTCCCGTTTCAAGTAGACAAATATTATTTGAATTTTATGCTAATTTTTTTCTACTTTTTTTTTTTACTTGAAGAAAAAAAAGTAAACTTCGGACCATCACCATTGTAGACATGCCATTATTTCATTGTCTTTGTTCATCTTTATTATTCAAGAAAAAAAGAGAGAATAAAGGAATAATAATCTACTTTAAGTCATCAGAAGAAATGGAACAATAAAAATAACAACGGTTGGTTTGCTGTCAATTTAATTTGCACTAGAAAACCAATCTACAACAACTTGAAACCAACTACAAAAAAAAAAATTGTAATAATTTCCAAGTCGTAAACTTGGAATTTAACAAACATATACAAGCCGAAAAAAACTGGATAAAAATTTAAATTTTGGGCGCCATATACACACACACACACAATCTAAAACTATAATATCTTCCAAATGTGAATGGCCAATAATCCCATTCAACGATTATTCTTGCTCATCGAACATATATTATAATAATAATCGATAATGTTTGACACAAAATAATATGATGCAATTATAGTGATTCAAATGAAAGAATTTCATTTTCTGCACATATCGAAATATCGAAATCATATGGATGATGATAAACAATGATGATGATAGATAGATAACGTGATAGAAGAAACGAATGAAACGTGTGTTTAAGCCTCCCTCCCTCACACACACACACACACACACACATGACATTAATTTCCAATTGAATCGATAATCGATTAATGATCACTATGATATGATCATATCATATCATACTATAAGGGAAAATGTGATCATATGCGATAAATACAATTGAAAATGTTTGCATGTTATTCACGTTTCTCATCGATGATAGCATCACTTGAAAAAAAATTCTATTTCCAATGTCTGTGTCAAAAAGATTCATTCACATCTTGTTTTTGATCAAGATGAATGAAATAAAGATAATCGAAGAGGGAAAAATCGAATCAATCAATAAATAGTGAATAAAAAGCGGAAAATTGAGAGACAGGGTATTGGCCTTAATTGTATACTGTATTTGAAAAAAAATCAATCGAATCTAAAAAAAAAAATGTATTGGAGAATCTTTTCAAATAAAACAAGCAATCGAATCTAAAAATGACTTGTTATAAGCAACGAGCGAAAAATCAAACTTGGAGAATCTCATTCATCCCTTTCAAATATAAACAAGCTGTGCGTAAATTTTCTTACCTCTTCGAAAACAACAACAACGACGACGATAAAAAAAATTAAGTTTTCATTTTTGTTGTTGTTTTTGTTTTTAATTCGTTTGTTGTTCATTTAATTATTAGTTCAAAGATCCAAATTTGGTCATATATGAAATGATGATGTAGGGGCCATCATTATCATCATAAATCAAATTGAATCGAACGAACGAACAAAACAACAAAAAATCGGACTAGACTATAGACCAGTGGACAAAACGGACGTTTCATTTTTTTTTTTTTTTTTTTGCCGGTACACACAACCAAATAAGATTGTTATAAGCAACGAGCGTTAATTATAATATATATGCATGCAAAGCAGAAGCAGCAGAATAGCATTTTGTTGTTTATTGGCTGATAATAATCATTTTTTCTTGTTGTCTATTTATTCTACTATCTAGAACCTGGTTGATTCGGTTAATATTTTTTTTTATATATATTCATTGAGAGAGGCACCTACGAAAATAAATGAATTTTGCTTTATTTTCTTCGTATTTGTTGTTGTTTATGAAATTGTATGTATAATTAAATGTTTTTTCTTTTTGAATTTTTGCGTTATAAATGAAAAAAAAATGATGATGAATAATAATAATGAATATACTTACAAGCTATTTCCAATGTTGCATTACGACTTATAGCTTTACCAACTTCATTACGTGCTAGACAATAATATGTACCAGTATCACCATTATGATGATGGTCACCTTTACGTCCACCACTTACATGTAGAAAGAATAATGAATCACCTAATATCATTGGATTTGATGATGGTGATGGTTCTACTTTTACATTATCTTTATACCTGATAATTTTGAAAATCAATATCGATTATTGATTATGAACAACTATTAAAAAAAAAATAAATAAATAAATTACCATTCAATAATTGGCGGTGGATTACCATCAGCTTTACAATTTAATTGTACTGGTTCATGTTTTTTAACAACCATACTAGTAGGATGTTCTTTAATTCTTGGTGGTCGTAATTGTTGTTGTTGTTGTTGGCCATGTTGTTTATCTATGCAAAAATGAGAGAAAAAAAAGACAGAAAAAAAAATGAAAATTGAATGACAATTGTCCAATTCAAAAAAGAAAAAAAAACAAATTCAATTATCATTTTTTTTACAAAACTTCAATTCTTAAACGGAAAAAAATTTAAAAAGAAAATTCAGTTGCAAAAAAACCAACAACAGTTCAAGTGTGAAATGAAATTCATCCAATAGAAAACATTGAAAAAAAAAAACCATAGCTTCATTTTTGAAATAATACAGATGTATGTATTGTGCTTGAAGCAAATAAAGATGGATCATTTTATTGAAAGAATTTTTCATTGAAACAAAATTCTTTTTCTTTTTTCTTTAAAATAATAATAATAATAATAACAAGAAAAGGAAGAAAAAAAAGTCAAGATAATTTTAAATAACAGACACACATACACACACAGTGGCCCAACAAGCGAGCAAGCAAGCACAGAACTTGAAAAAAAACTCAATTCAATTATAGAGAAATTTTTTTTCATCTTCTTTTAAAGCTTATCTTTTCGTTATTTTTTTGTTTTTTCTTGTTTTGTTTCCTTTTCAGAACCAGAATTTTCTTTTTTTTCTCTTTATTCGTTGTTGTTGTTGTTGTTGTTGTTGAAAAAACCAGATTCTTAAATTTTTTTTTTCTGCTGCTGTTGCCAGAATGATTTCAAAAGTAATAATAATATCTAATTAATATTTAATTTAAATGATAACGATGGAAATATCTAGAATGAAAATTATATATTCAACAAAATCAAATTCTTATACAGTGAAACAATAGAAACAAAAATGTCAAGTTAAATTGTGAAATGAAGAAAATAAGAATTTAAGAATTTTGTCCATCATCCTATTTGCCCCATTGATCCATAATGTTTATTATTTTCATGATAAATAAATTCAAATAAAATTCCATGTCATTTTGAGATTCTGAGATTCTATTCACACGAATTTACACCCATTGTGTGCGTGTGTGTGTATGTTTGGAGACATAAAAGCCATTATTTTCAATGGATGTATTATTTTTCTTTTATGACATACAATTCACCATAATAACAACAAGAAAAAAACTTGTTGTGAGGGGGGGGGAAAGAAAACTAAAATGAAAAAAAAATTTCATTGATTGCCAATTGGTTTTTTTGTCTCGTTTTCAGTTTTGTTTGCTTCGTTTGGGTCTCTACGAATATAATGGATTTTTATTTTTCAAAAAAAAACTTTGAATGATGTATTAATGATGATTAAAGTCTTTCACGTTCGATCATCGTTGTCGTTTTTTTCTTCTAATCATATTATTAATACCATCATCATCATCATCATCCAATGGAAAAGAATTAGAACGAAAATCATCATTGGCGCCCAATGAAATATGTACAGTTAAAAAAAAAAGAAAATCCCTATATCGTATCAGCAAGGGGCCGTGCCATTTTTCGTCGTTGTCGTCGTCGTCGTCGTCGTTTATATAAATCCAATTTAATGGCAACGTGAAATGAAATGAAATGAAAAAACCAGAATCAACCATGTTTGTTATGATTATTATTATTATTAGTATTCAAAAGACTTATGTCTTCGTTGTATGTGTGTGTGTGTGTGTGTGTGTGTGGTTCTTAATATTTTTTTTTTACATTTTCTTTCTCTCCGCTTCTCCACATTTAAGTAAAACGAGATTTTGGCAAAGAATATTCTTTATAATAATAATAATACATAGTATGGTATAAGAACAAAGCGCACACACACACCCGCCCCTTTTTTGGTAAAAGCTAAAGATTTGAAAGTGAAAATCAAAATCAAAATAAAAAAAATCAAAACAGTTTCTGGTTATTTTGTTTTCGTTTCGGTCGATCCAAAAAATCAAGAGTGTAACAATTGTTTGTGTGTGTGGTGGGTTTGTGTAACCACCTTTGAATTCAATGAAGCAGTAAAATGATTGTTTTTTCAATTTCATTCATAAGAAAGCTTATTACCACCAACACCGTCGATTCGCGACCAGCACCAAAAACGAAAACTGGTTGATTTTTTTTTGCTATTTTCATAGTCAAAACATAGAAGAAACTGCTGTTATTGTTGTTTTTTCCTGTGTATAGAATGGAACTTTTGTTTCATTCCATTCTCGTTGTGAGATTTTTATTATCACGCACCCCCGTAAAGTTTTACACGCGAAATTGGCTCCCATCGTTTTCGGGTTTTTTTGCATTATTTGGATTCGTCGAATACACACATATACCGTCATCATCATCATCATCATTCGGTTCTGGTTATTTTGTTGGCATTATTTTCTAAAGGCGCCAACTGCTAGTTAACACTATACACAAATCGACATCGACATCGACCAAGCAATAAGTCGACCACCGACAACAACAACAGAATAAAACTACTACCAAGCATCTGACACATAAAACTAATCCAAAAAAATCATACTTTTGGTTGCCTGGTCGATCGATCGATCGGTATCGTTCAATCGAATAAGAATTTCTTTTTTTTTCCTCACAATTCCCATTCAGAAATTCATATCACGATACCTCAATCTGCAGTCTGATGATTCTATTTCTCTACAAAAAAAAATACAATAGAAATAGAATCAATACAGGAAAATTTTTACGGTTATTTTCATTGTTTCACACTCAGTGTAATTCTACGAATACAACAAACACAACCATCCACCCTCACACACGCAATATAAAGAATTTTGCGTGTTTCAAATGTCATCATCATTATTAAATGCTTGTCGCTACTGCTACTGCTACTGCTGATGATGATGATGATGTTCATTTCACTTTATGCTTATATTTTATTTCGATTTTCAAAAAAAAAAAAAAAAATTATATTTCGGAAATCGAATTTTATTTTTACGTTTTTTCACAAAGAAAAAAAAATTTGGTATAAATCAATAAATAATGGGTCTATAGTCGTTTTGTCGTTGTCGTCGTCATTTTGTATTTATATAAAATGAATGGGCAAAATGAAATCACTTGAAATGATCAAATAGAAAAAACTAGAAACGGAAAAAAATTGTATCCAATAGAATATATAGGAAATAAAGAAATTGAATTGAATTGAATTGAATCGAATCGATCGATCGATCGATGTCTTCATCAACAATAACAATAGCATCAATCTTGTTGTTGTTGTTGTCGTTGTTGTTGTTGTTTATATTGATTGTCCATTTTGATTATGATAAACACACAAACTCACATACACAAACATTTTCAAATGAACCGAGCAATTGAAGAAAATTTCACATTTGACCTTTCTTTTCATTGGGAACAAAACATAAATTCACAACAAACAAACAACAATGTGACATTTTAAAAATAAATAAACAAGATTCGATGATGGTCAATCAATCAATCATTGGTATGTGTGTGTGTGTAACAAAGTTCGATCAGATTATCGATTGATTGTATTGATATTCGGTTTTAGGTCATTGATAAAAATTGATAAAAAGCATGTTATATGAATCGAGCAGGACGAACATCATCATCATTGTTGTTTATAATCTTTGATTCAATCATTATTCTCAATTTGAATCCAATTATCCAATTGGATTTAGTAGTTTTGTATATTTGTTTATATTAAAAAATTTGTGAAAAAAAAATAATTTAAACATTCAATTTTGAAAGAATTCAGTAAGTATGCATGTAAATACAAAACATATGTGTTCATAAACACTTCTTCTTATGGTTGTTCATTGGATTTCTTCACTTCATTTCAGTCAATAATTTCTTCTTGGTCGTGATGTTAATAATGATGTTATTTAAGCTTACGAAAAAAAATCGATTATTATGATTGACTGAAAGAATTTCGGGTTTACATCATAAGACATATTCAACACACTCACACACACACACACACACACACACTGACTGTCTTGATACAAAAGATTCGGTATTTTTTTTCTTTCTTTTTTGATTGATCCAAACCGAATCGAACTAAATTGTTACAAATCTTTTTTTTTCATTCATTCATTCAATCATTTTTCTTTTCAAAAAATTTGATTGATTCAATCAAATTCTGATGATGTTGATAATCATATTGTCGGATAAATAGCACACATGGTATTTCCGTTGTGTTTTTACTTGTATTCAACATTGTCTATTTGAACTTGTTATAATCCATGATATGATTGACGTTCAAGATCCGTATAACAAAAATACGTATGGACCGTTGTATGATTGATTACAAATACCACCACCACCACCACCACCACCACCACCACCAACCAACACACACATCATCATCATATAATCAGAGTATGCTTTGAGCTATAATCACACATGTGATAATCTAATTATACATTTAACACTATCTCTTCCTTTATTATCTTTATCATATCTCAAATATATGCAGATTTTCGAATCAAAAAAATTTGCGAAAAAAAATCGAAAGCAAAAACAAAACACAAACAAAGATAAACATTGGAATTTTAATTTAATTATCACACACATCGACACTAGCAAATACAAAAAGAAATTATTACCTACAATGAATGGCAATCGATGGGTGCAAATTTTGAATGTCGATTCTTTTCCTATTTCTACTACTCGTCTATATTGAATATGCAATAAGTTTGGAATTTATACCATTTTTTTTATTCGTTGATTTTGGTTTTGTAGACAGCAAACAAAACTGTCTGATTCTTTTCATTGTATTCTTTTTTTTCTAAGCAAATATTTAAATGTGAAAATAGTCAAGTGTTCGTATGTGTGTGTGAATGAAAATTCTTCGTAAATTCAAAAGTTGCCCGTTTATTTTTTTTCTGTTTGATTCTTCTTATTTGATTAGTTGTTGTTGTTGTTCATTTGTTTCTGTGGATGACTTTTCTGTTTTTGCATTCATTTCATTCATTCATACAATTCCTTTCAATTCATTGCCAATTGAATGTCTCGATATACAAACACACACACACACATACACACCACACAGAATACCCAAAGGATTCATTTCTAACCAAAAAAAAACCGAGACCAAAAAAAGGAAAGCGTGTGTGTGTGTGTGTATTGAGCAAACACATGACCCCTCTCCACTATCCCCTACATCAATGTTGAAAAAGAACCTAAGATGATGGAGAATGAAAAAAAAAATGTCGATCCAACAAAACACAAGTGTTTGGCCACAGCAGTAAAAGTGTTCAAAAAACATTAAGATGATGATGATGGAACATATGAGTATAAAACGAATGAAAGTAAAAAAAAAACGAAAGAAAAGCAGCCAACATCAAACATCGGTTAACAAGGAATTGAAATAATTAACTCATTCAAGCTGCTGCTGCTACTGACTGCAATCAAACAACCAACCAACCCAAAAAAGAAATTTTCTTCTTTTAGAAAGAAAACATGAGAAAATAAAAAAAACCGGAATGAAACAAATGAATGAATGAATGGAACATTTGAAAGATGATTGAAACTGTAAGAAAAAGAAGAATAATAGGAGCCACTG